TGCTGGTACTTTTAATTTTCATGTATTTAATATGATTTTATTTTTATTGCTAACATGACTATTTTTTTTTTTTTTAGGTGGAAATAGAAGAGTGCTGTCAAATATTTGGTCGGAGAGTGGATAACGTTATACCGAAAGCCGCTGCATTGAACGTTGAACTGAATGATTCATCACGTGACGAGCTAAGGTCCATCCGAGACTCTCTACGAGAGGTATGTACCTTAATTCTCGGGCTTTCTAGTCGGATCTAATTGGTTAAGCGGATCTTTACCTTTTTAGGAAGTTGACCTTACCAAATCAAATGTTAAAAAATGGTTGGATAACCTTACAACTTTTGTCGTTGAACTGGATGATGATTACAAAGTTCCACCAGAAGAAGTAATTAAAATTCTCTGTTTATTTTTATTTTCAAAATAAATCATGTTTATTCCTACGTATTAGTATTAATCAGTTAAAATCTGTAGATTTTTGAAAACGATCTTGGTAATGCTGTAGTTGAACCGGTTTGTATATATATTATATATATATAAAATATGAGATCTTTGCCTTGAAAACCATATTACGAATCATATGATTTACTATGTTCCTTAACGTGATTTTCAAGGTAAAAGACCCCATATATTATAGATTATAAGTGTATTACAATATATTCCTAATTTGCGATTATATCTACACACGTGTATATAGCTGAGATGTAAATATGATGAATTGGCCCGTATAGTGGTAAGTTTCATCTTAAATTCAAGTTTCATCAATGTTTTCATGGCTGATCAAACTCTATTATATAGACCGGTCGACGCGACTCATTTGAAGAGTCTGCAATAAAAATGCATTATTATTGGGATGCGCTTCAACATATTCCCCAAGATGAAATTGATGATGCATTATACGAATTATTTAATGATAAACAGAATCCAAAAGAGATATTTGAAGCGTTACAGGCTTCACTTGAAAATAAGAGCATAAATAATGATGATGATCAAGCTCAACAAGAAATTGTTGATGTACAACGTGAATATGTATATTATACCCCTCAACTTCCTACTGGACTGAAATTGTCTCCGGAATGTTTAGCCGCTCTCAAAGAAAAAATAGTCGTTCTTGAAAAAGATTATGTAACTCGTAAGACTAAGTTGGATGCTATGCAAAAAGGTGTAAAGAAACTATATAATGAATTGAATGTTCCTTTGGAAGAAAGAATCGAGTTGATTGATTCTCTTGACGAAGAATACTTAGAACGGGTTGGCTTTTACTTTTTAATGTTAATTAATTGTATTTATTAACTATTTTAAATTATTTATGGATTATTAATATTTAATTATTTAGCTGTCTTTGGAACATGAACGCCTGAAAGAAATCATGCGTGTGATCATTCAGAAAGCTATCGAAGAGGTATAGAAAGTTTTAAATATGTATTTAAAATATTCTTATCACTTTTTATTAATTTAAAAACCTACTTCTATAACTTTCAGTATACTTCGCAATTAGTTGAACTATGGAATAAATGTCTTGTTCCACAATTTGAACGTGATGAATTCTTTGCCAACGTACATAAACGTAAGTTCACTTTGAATACATTATACTTATCATTCTGATCATCTAAAAAAAAAAAAAATAGTCATGTTAGCAATAAAAATAAAATCATATTAAATACATGAAAATTAAAAGTACCAGCA